AAAATAAGTAAAACCTCTTGAATTTTTGTATCAATTGACCTCAGTCTGTGTTTGTCCTAATGAAACCAACAATTACAGAAAAAATATAATGTACTTCTCTACTTCCTGACAAACCAGGACAGAGGAGAAAGACAAAAATCAACCTCCTCTTACATTTACATCTTCAATACAAATGCCATTTTAATCTTTCAGTGTAATATTAAAGCAATACTACAGCATGCAAAAATCAATCTCTTAATTATCATTCATCTTATTATTAATCTATTGTTTCATAGTTTCTAATAATGATTCAGCAACAGGCTCACACAGACACAAATATCACTAAAATCATTTAAATTTTTTCAGTGATCAGATAAATAACCAGAAGCAAGTTGATCTCATTTTTATGGATGAGTGCAAGCTACTAGAAGTATAACAGAACTACTTTAAAGGATGGTAAGGGAGTCACAGGCACAAATAAGATTGTAACACATTTTGATATGGCCATAAGAGACTGACTTTAAAGTGGTATGTATATTATATTAAAATTTTCCACCAAAACTTCACAGATGATTTTAATATACACTGAAAAAAAGTTATGTATATGAAGTAGAGTATGTGCCAATAGGTGCCTAGAATATTTAGTTACCCACCTACAAATTTATTTCCTTGTCTTTAAAAACTAAACATTTGAAACATCCCGTGAAGGAGGAGACGGGCACAATTTGTATTGAAGGGGAAAAGTACAGAAGACCGTGGCAGGGTTAGAGTCACAGCTGGAATTAGTTTAAGTCACCTTTTCCTTTTGCTATCTCTAGTCTAACATGAAAATAAAATGATGGATGCTTATGCTTAGATTATCATTAAAATACTTTTCTTGCTATTCATGAAATAACCTTCCACTTGAATCGACTATCAATCCCTATGAGTTATAATGAAAGAAAATGAATCTTTATGAAGATTGCTTAAAATCTTTAAAATATTTTGAAATTCAACCTTAAAAATGGATTTGCTTTTACTATCAGTTGTTGTAAGTTAGGATTAGCAATTACTTACTCTTAAACTTGGAAAAGTTCAGATGGGGTTAAAAACAAGTCACAGACAATTGCAGAAAGTGAAGCAATCATCTACAAAAACTGGAGAATACACTTCATTTCAGTGAGCACTTTCATTAACATTCCCACATGCTCATAGATATAGTGTTTTTATAAATTAAATTCAGTTTATAAGCATTAACAGTCTCTAACCAATTTCCTCAAATTTCATGTCAATATATTTCAAAAATTCCTTTCTTATAGCATAACATCATCCAAACTATGTACTGTCCTCCAAGTGTCCAATTTATATGAAAAAAAATCATAAAATCTGAATTTATACTGTACGAATCTCAGCTTCAATTTAACCACACATGCCAAGAAGTTTATCTACATTAAAATACAATTATTTGTCACTGTTCTACTCACAACTTTTAAAAATGCTATGGAGTTGCATTCAAATTAAATTTATCTTCTAATCTCAATATGAGAAAGCAAAGAGTAAAAAAAGAAGGAAGCTATAATAAATACAGATTCAACAGTTTTTCATTAGTACACAAAAATAGAATATTATAAATATAGAATAATTGTAATTACTTTGGTAATTTTAAAAATTTGTTTTGAAGGTGGCCCATAAAATTTGATATGTCAAATCCCAGAGGTAATGTCAAACAATGACATACTTAATCAAAGTATACTTATCCACATGATGTTCAATATTTTCTTTAAAGTTCCTTTTGATTTTGTACATATGAAATATTCTCCTTAGGAATTGTAATAGTGACATATATAAATATTAATATATGTAATAGTCCTATAACTTAATTCACCCTATGTACATACATATACTATCTTTTAAAACCCACTAGTCATTGCTGCAAGGTGTAGGTCAAAGTAAAAATTATTGTGACTACTTCATAAAACTCATTTTTGCTAACACTATATAAACTACCTGAATACCACCCCACTCAATGCTCTGTGTCAGCATCCATCCTAACCAAAACTGGATCTTTGAAAGTGAACCTAAAAGTGGAAATTGTAACACCGCTAGAGAACAGTGTCTTTTCACTTTAGGCCCTCTCCATTTTAAAATTTAAGGGCATATTTTGGGGAGTAATTTACAAACAGCCCACCTTTCCTATGAAACAAATAGAAGCTCTATAAATAAGAATTTTTCTCTTTGTACAAAATCAAGCTACAGTAAGTCAAGAAAATTCAGGGGTGTACTTTGTGTCATGTTCACTTTTGTAGGCTAACGGATTACTAAATTTCTTCAACAATTTTTCCGCAATGATAATACAATTTTTACTTTCTCTATCCTGAAAAATTAAAATACACCATGGTTAAATTTTCAGCTAAGACAAAGACCAAAGACTAAGGTTCTAATCTGCCTACTTGAAAGGCACTGATTTCAGTATCATCAAAGATAGATAAGGAGGGTGGAGGAAATCGAACTGAGTAGGCCTCAGGATGACACTCTGGAATTAGCTAGGTTGACCAGTTGATACTTTGCTTCCAATGTTCCCCAGCCATATTTTGCTACTATGATGGGTAAAGAAAATCAGTGTTGCTACATTTCAAATCTAGAGATTTCCCTATAAAACCAAGTATCATCTTCCCTCTTAAGTTGTCTTTCTAATTTCCATACTGTTTTTAAAAATAAAAACACTAAGAATTTTAGTGACCACATAACTAGTGGAATAAAGAAGATTGAAAGACTCATAAATAGTCAAAGAATTTCCCTGTCTGCTTCAAAGAGAGAATTTTTTTCTTCATAATGATACACATTTGAGATTATACAGTAAACAAGTGAAACAGAACACAAAAAAACATAACCTTCCCACTACCAGCTACCCTCTGACTATTCAACCTAATGTTTTACTTTATTGTTGACACAAATACATAATAATTTCCTCACAAACATCATGTCAAATTTTAAGGATCAGCTATTACAGATACGCAGACATAATAAAATCTATTTCGTAAAGCTGCTAAGTTATGGAGGGCATATCAGAAATTCAACTCACTGGTAAAATAAATTCTCAAATTTCAAGAGATGCAAGTAGAGTTACAAACTCCTAAAGAAGTATAATTAAGTAGGAACTTAGAGGAACAGTAGAATACATATGCACATTATTTATATACAGGTATATTATCAAAACAGGTATATTATTTATATACTACAATTATTTATATACAGGTATGTTATCAAAACATAGCCAGGGATATAGCTCAGGGTTGGGGAGATAGCTCAGTGGCACAATGCCTGCCTGGCAAGCACAAGGTTCTGAGTTTGATTCCTGGTACCAAAAACCAAAATAAAAAACCATAAAGGGTAAGCTAGGTTCTGGGATGTGTCCTTCAGCCCACTCGAGAATCATAAGACCCAAAGGGGAACAGAAACAAGCAATTTACAGAGGCACTCAGAATATACATGGATTGGAACTGAAAGGAGCCTCAACAGTTTTGGGTCTCTGTATCCTTGCAGGAACTACATATTTACCACTTTTAAACTTGTAATATAGACTTAGACCACAGTGTTCAAAAAGTCTTCTGACTTGGATCAAGGGTAGACACTCCCCCCATCTTGTGAGGGACTTCTAAGAGACTGTCTCACTGTTTGGAAAAGGTCAAAATGTCTCAGGCTAGATGCAGAAGGTGTGGAAGCGGTCCTGACTAGGAAGGCTTTGAATGTGTGCGTAGACCCATAAGGGTCATATATGTACATACACACATATGTATATACAGTTTATTTTCTTAAAATGTGGTGTTTGCAGACTTTGAAATCCTTTAAGAGAATAGCTGAGATGTTGGACATTTCAAAGCCCTGGAAAGCAAAACTATCAAAACTGTCCCCGTGAGAGGGCAGTAGGGGGCCACGCTGCAGCCCAGATCTTCCCTCTGGTCGGTGTAGCACTGGCCCAGCTGTCAGCCTCCACACTGCGTCCAGCTGTGGCGCGAGCGGCAGGGCACACGCAGCGGGCACGGCAGGCTGCATGCGCCTCTACGGAATCACGGGAAGCTGTGGAGGAAGGACCACCGCGGGGGGAGCATTCCGTGTGATCTTCGGGGTGTAAACTGGCTTTCGGTTTTGGCTTCCCATAAAGGGAGCGGGAGGTGGCGCTGTCTTGGTCCCCAGTGCCCATAAAGCCCCCTCTCCTGGCCGCTGCCCAATGCTCACGCCTGTGTGTCTGGGTAAATTTGCAAGTGACTGTCACCGTCTGCCTGCGGAGCCCCGGGCCAGAGGTGCAGCGGGAAGTTCCCTCTCGCAAAAACGTCTCTGGTGTCCTGGCTCTATCGCTGGCGCCTACGACGCTGTCGCTGTCACCTCGTTATGTTGCTTCCTCACTGGTGATTTATACACAGTTCTACAAGAGGGAGAAGTGAGCGTCCACTGGGGTTGTTTTCCAACCGCGACTTCCTTTGAAAGAAGAAAGTGGTTGGGAGAAGTGGAGAACCTGCAAGGGGGTGAATGGCCTTCCAGAGTGCAAGATGTAGGGCGCCCAGGACCTGCATTCTGCTGTCCAGACCGAAATCCAGCTTTGCCAATCCCACTGCCGGGAACCTGGGCAATCACCCGCCTTCGTGACTACGACTTCATTTGCGAAAGGGAAAGCATATTGTTAAGCAAGTGAACTTGTAAAGCACCTGGGGCAGTGCTTACCACCTGAGAGCCACTGTGCGCAATCAACCTCCACAGCGGCATCCCGATGTTAGGCGAAGGACCATTTGGCCGCTTTCCCCGCGGGAAGGCGCTAGCTCTCCACTTTGCCCACCACCCATCGCAAAGGTGAGACAGAACCTGGGCCGCCCACTCTGCAGCACAGCACCCACAGCCACCCGCGCACCAGGACCCCTCCCTGGCCCTGAGGGGCGCGCGCCACACCTGGGGACGTGCGCGCTCCGGGCTGCACAGGCATCCCGCGCGCGCAGGAGAGCTGGTCCCCACCTCTCCCGGTTGAAGAGCGAGATGGGAAGATTTCCTACCTGCCCCAGGGTTTTGCCTTTCTTACTGCCTCCGAAAGCCAGTCCTTGGTATATGCCCGCAGATCGGTTGGCGGCCTGGGCAGGCGTCTCTCCGCCCAGAGAAGACTTGATGGAGTTGAGTTTGGCCCGCGAGCTGCCGAGCTGCGAGCTCTCCACCATCAGCACCGCGGCCAGAAGCAGTAGACAGCGGGACGAGTCCCTGCCCCGCATCCACGCGGCCATCTCCCGGCGGGCCACGAGGGGTCCCGGGGAGGCGCAGAGCCCGAGGGGCGGGGGATGCAGCGCTCGCGGGACTCGCAGACGCTGTGCCCCAACCCTGCCTGCTCCGGGAACCCAAGACCCTGAGAACCACGCAGTCTCAAACTGGCCGGGAGCGAGCGTGACCCAAGCAAGGCCGGTTCTCCAGCAGGGCAGAGAGGCGCAGCGGTCACAGGAGGCGGTCACAGCCTGGGCGCCTTCCCCGCAGAGGAGGAGGAGGCGTGACTCGAGTGCTGCGCACCTCGGCGACCGTCCCGGACTCAGTCCTCCCCTGGATGGACCGAGGGTCGGCGCCTGTGCCTTCGCTGGCTTCGGTGGCTGTTCTCTCCTTCCCCCGCCACCCCACACTTTGGGTCTCTAACTTGGTGGGACGTACGTCCTTCTTTTCAAGGTTAGCAGGGGCTACCACCGGAGGTCAGGAGTCGCCTCTGGTCTGGGCGGCCCTGGAGACCTGAGGCCAGCAGAGGCGCCACGCGCAGACACAGTAGCTCCAAGCGCCGTCCAGGGTTCACCCGAGACTACGGCCACTGCCGGCGCCCAGCGATGCCCGCGCCGACTGCGCTCGGCAGGGCTGGCGCGCTCTGGCTGCTCTCCCCCGCCCTCTTTGCTTTTTATAGTTTTCCACAGTGGGTTTTCCTCCGCCCCCAATCCAAGAGTGACAAAGAGTGAAAACGTTGCTCTACCCCCATGCTCTCGGCCCCCCTTCTCCTGCAGCTCCTTCCTCGGCTTCCCCTCCCCGCCCTCCTAACCTCCTCCACCCTACAACTGGAGAAAATAGGATTCGCTCCCAGAGGAACGTGTGGTTCCCCATGCTGACCACAGCTCCAGGGACAGATGCGCTTTGGAAGCAGGCGGAGGACACATTTTGGCATGGAGAGCTACAAACTGTCCCCAGTCATAGTGAACGCCAACAACCTCCGTGGTCCCCGCCATCCCCAACCTGGGGAAGTTTTGGAGATGGCAACATCTGTGCGCTCTCGAATGTGACTGTGGCCTGTGTCCCCAGAGCGTGGGAGGCTGGGCAGAGGTGCCCGGCGGATCCCGAGGGAGGGTGAGCAGAAGATCTACAGAGGGGAAGGCTGAGCGCATTCTCATTCCCCTTCTTCATCCCCAACTCTGCCGCGAGGGAAATGTACGTCTGCCTCTCTGCGGGACTGGGAGGGAGGAACTTGGTCCCCCCCAAAGTGGGGTATCTCCGAGGTTTAGCAATCATATCTCCTTTGGACACCGTATCTGTGCCAGAAAATTGCCCTTTTTGAAGAGAGGAAATCCCAGGCAGGAGTGTACGGGGTTGGGAGGTAAGCATGCAGGGACCTTTGAGGTCCTGCCTTCCTCGGCTCCCTGCCTGCTGGCCCCTGGGAGCTCCCAAGAAAGCCTTTCCCGGAGGCTCTCCAAGTCGCCTTCCAGTCTTCCAAGGTGCTACGAGCTGGGAGAGGCTCTGGGACTCTCGGGCGCGCGGCGCTTGGGGGCGCTGGTGGCAGCGCCTCACAGGGCGGATGCACTGGAGGAGAGCAGCTGCCCTGCGCTCCCTGCTTCACAAAGTTTGGCTACAGGCTTCCAAGCAAGGTAGGGGGTTATTCAGGAGGTGTTGTCTTTCTCCTTCACAGACCCAAGTAATCGACTTGGCGTTAGGCAGTGACAGTTTGCAGGCACGAGCCGGCTCTTAAGAGTATCCTCCAGGATTTTCCCCATCTAGGTCCGCAAATTTCACACCCTACCCTACAGCACACACTGGCATGCGCAGGAGCACGAAGGGGCAAAGTGAGGGACTTCTTTATTTCCACCCACCGAACACCACCCAGGTCTGAAGTGTGATCTTAGAGCTCATGCCTCCCTAACGCCCCTGCCTCAGCCCTCTCCTGGAACATGACCTGCCCCGCCTGAAAGTCTTCCTTTGAATACACCTCAAACAGGGATTCAAACTTGATGAGCCCTCTGGCGGGTTTTCTTATCTTTGGATGTCTTTAGGGTAGAGATCAGCACTCTAATGGCTGTTTTCACTTTTTAAATGCCCAAGAATAACAAAGCAGAATAACCCTTGAGGATATCCTGCTAAGTGAGACAAGACAATACTACCTGACCCCCCTTCGCTGATGTATCTAAAATACTCAAATTCAGAGAATCATGACTTGGAATGGTGGTTACCAAGAAGTCGAAGACTGGGGAATTACTCTATCAGCAGGTGTAAAGTTTTATTTCAGTGAGACAAATGGGCTCTAGATGTCTGCTGTGTTACGTAGTTATATATAGTAAACAATAATAGTATTTTAAAATTGTTAATGGGGTAGATCTCATATCAAATTCACACATACACACACACACACTACATGTGTATATATTCCCAGAAGTGGATTCATAACTTTGTACAGATTTTAGGCACTCATGGAAGTTAAACAAACTGATGGATACACTTTTAAGTACTTGCGATTTAGCACTTAGACTTTACTAAAGGGTTTTATCTTTTGGCTCAGTTCTGATTAGCCAGTCAAGAAACAACAGAAATTAAATTAGGAACCTACTGGCTCAGGTAGTTGGCAGAATATTTGAGAGCAAAAGAATTGTGAGTTATACTTAAATATGCAGGCAGCAAATCATACTGTGTTCACTTGAGACAGATACTCTCACTGTGCATGGGAGAAAAAAATTCAGATGAACAAAAGGAGTTGAAGATGCTTCACGTTTGTCACTTTCTTTCCTTTTCCCCCCAGCCAGCACAACATGGCCCAAATGCAGAAATCTTCTCATACTGCACCTCGATCTCAGAGGTCCACACAGCAACTCCAGCTTCAAAAGCAGATGTGTACAATGTAGTCAAATAAAAGTAACTGTGGAATGTACTTGCACTAATATTCTCCCATAGAAAACAAAGTCGCATATGGAATCAAATGCTGAAATACACAAAACTGCTCTTTAGACTGAAAAGAGGTTAGAACTCATTTCATTCCCAACCCCAGTACTCTCTGTAAAAGTATCTGACAGACAGGCACAGACACTTGCCTATGTAGACAAGTAAACACACATGATCAACTGCAAATGAACATCATTTTTGGATTGCTGTCTTAGCACACATATGTTTCTTCCTTGTGTGTTTTCCTAAGTATGAAGACACAAACTTTATGTTTTAGTTGGCAGAACAGAGTTTCATGCCATTTGCAATAACATAATTAGAGAGTAAATACATAAAAACAAGATTGTACGGAAGTAAGCTGGAGGCCTTTGTGTAAAAGAAGATGCCTGGAGGGTCATATGGCTTCTGAATGTATACTTTCTTTCTCTGTTTCTGAACCCCCTTGGAGTCATTTAGGGGTACAGAAAAGTCATAGCTTGGTGAATGATTGTTTCCGAAATCAGATTCGCTACTGAAGACTGAGCCCTAAAGGTAAGCTGAGTGTGCACATCATCCTTCAGTTCTTATTTACCGCACCTTGCCTGGTTTCATCTTGTCATCTCGTCCTGCATTGGTATACTCCGTGGTTGTTCAAGCTTTCCCTGCCCATCTATTAAGAATAGGCCCTGGAGAGCCCAGAGGGGAGTGGATGCCATCCTTGGCCCCCGCAGAGCTTGCAGCCCTGATTAGGCAATGGCTTGCTGGCCTCAGCGTCTGGTCGCTTTCATGAGTTACCGTCCTGAGCCATCCTCTGTTCTCACCCATTACTGACTATGGCCAGTCTCAGAATTTGGTCTCTGCTAGGATATCTGCAGCTTCTAAACTGGCTCTAATCCATGTGACTAAAGAAGAGATAGATATAGATAAATGAAAAAGATTAAAGGCTGGGTGTGGTGGTGCAGGCCTCTAATCCCAGTGTTCTGGGAGGCTGAGGCTGGAGGATTACAAATTTGATCCCTGTCTGGGCATCTGAGATTTAGTAAGACCCTGTCTCAAAATTTTAAAAAATAAATAAAAAGATAAAAATGGCCTGAGGATTACCTCAGCATAAAGGCCATTGGCTCCATCCGCAGGGCTGTAAAGTAATAATTTAAAAAAATTGAAAGTATTTAAAAATTTAAAAATATCCTTGAGACTTTCTTTTTCTCAGATTTTATATGTACATTTTAATAGTGTGGGTAGAGACAATACTTTTTCTCCATTTAAGGTTAAACCCAAATAAATGACCCTGGTGACAGTACGTTCAGGTCAGTAAGGTCAGAAGTACTGTACTGTGGCAATTTGTTGGGGGAGATTACATTTGTATTGGTCCCATAAGAACCTCAGTTCATCTTGAATACACAGATTGGACATGGAAGGCGTTTTTGCTGTGTGAATGGATGGTCATGGTTGCTATGGATCCAGAAAAGAAACCAAACTACCCAGTCCTGTTGTCTGGTAGTGCTCACCCTTTTCATCACAAAGGAATCTTACATTTCTCATCCTGCCTAAAGAATAATATCCTATGTTGCTGTCTCACATTTTAAGCAATTTGTAATAAATGTAAAGTAGCACTGGTAGCTTAAAAATCTTTTGGGTTTCTTGAATGGGGATAACCTCCTTACCAAATATGCAAAACTGCATCTTGTGTTTGATATTTTTGCCTTATTTTACATGGTTAACTACATCCTGTCTTAATCTCATGCCCAATAAGACCAGCTCCTGAGAAAACTTCACTGCTTACACTGAGTCTCTAGTTGTGCTTGACCCAAATGTTCATAAGTGAAAAGGTCCAGGGGATTCCATGGTATATTTACCAGAAATGTAATTAGAAACATAATCATTGCTTAGCCAATGGCTTTGTTTTTCAACATTGACAAATCAGTTATCACCTCAATACTTTACCTGACGCCAAAATGCAGGAGAGCAACTGGATGGATACTTCCTCTAGAGCCTAAACACAGCTGATAAAACATGTAAATAGCATAATCTGAAACTGAGGTGGCTACACTACACAGCTACAGATTTTTGTGCATAAAAGTGGCAATACACACAAGGTTGGAATTAGAAACAACCTCCAAATGTTCAGTCCCAGTGCTTTCCCTTATGATATATGATTTCTGTTGGTTCTTCATAATATATGTCCTTTTTGGTGATCCATTTATTCTCAGTGCTGAATTCCTGCAGGCTATTTCAAGACTCATCTTTGGAAACCAAACCGAAGTACCAAATAACACTTGGATGTGTAAGGGAGAAGTGTTTAATTCTTGAGTGAAGTTCAAAGCCAGAAAAAAATCTCATCTTGATGAACAACAAAACAAGAAACTTTTATATAATTTAGATGAGTTTTCTAGACTCTGTTCATTGGAGATCTAGGGTTCTGGAGAGGTCATACAGAAAGGCTAAGAGCGATAGTTTTTTTGATAAGATTATGCAGTAGAAGAATCCAGCAACATTGAGTTTTATTTTTTATTTTTTTTTGGTTTTTCTCCGGTACCGGGAACCGAACTCATGACCTTGCGCTTGCCAGGCAGGCGCTTTGCCGGTGAGCTAAATCCCCAGCCCCTAACATTGAGTTTTAAATGCCTGTCTTTGTTAGTGCTTTTACTGGGGGGAGGATTTTGTTGGTTGGTTGGTTGGTTTTAACCAACTGTTAACTGCCCTATTTGGAAGCCACACTAAATTGGGTAAAATACTGTGTCTGCTCAACCCGCCAATAACTGGAGGGGTTCATTTCCACTCTGCTATTATTACAGATATTCCCAAAACAAACATTACTCAAATGGGGAAACTATTGAAAATATGGCAATTTATTCAGTCAGAAATGATTTGGTCATTTG